TCTCTCTGCCTCACCTACTTCATCTCTCTCAATTCTAGTTTAGGTCAACAGAAAAGTGAGGTAGTAGGACAAGTTCTTCTATAATATCCCCCAGAGTCCCAAAACTCTGACCCAAAGTTATAAAATTAAATATTTTCCTCCTTTGGGTCGACGGGGTGGCAAAAATAAACACCTATTAGCCAATTACCAATAGTGGAATATACAATATATTTTTATAAATAATCATCTTCCCCAGTCGATAACATTTTTAATGATAGAATTAACACATCAAAGAGTGATAGTATTTGTTAAGGAAGGGAATATTCTAACTAAACTAAATTTTCTATATTATACTATGTTGCTCCCTAGATAATAACTTTGAAAGTTCAAAATAATGGCATGAATTTAACTTGGAAATTCCTTCATTCAAAATTTTATTGAGTGGACCTTTTCTAAAGATCAAGTGAGCTGCAATTTAATATTTGGGAAGCATGCATGTAAACACAAAGAATAGCACAGTACTCAGATTCAGAAGACCTGAGTTGAAGTTTGGATCACTTAGAAGCTCTGTGCTTCAGCCAAGTTTCCCAATCTCCAAGGCTCAATTTCCTTAGCTGTAAAATGGAAGTAAAAATCAGCTTCAGTTACTATAGAAATTAAAATATGAAAATGGCTGTGAAAAACAGCAATACATTTTTACATTATTTCCAGACAATTTTAACACTTTCATTTACATACTTTGAGGGTTGATCTTCTCTGCTAACAGCATGGTATTCTGAAAAAGTTAAAAAAAAAAAAAGCAAAAAAACCCCCACAAAACTGTCTTTGTGCAATGACTTTGTTGTTCCAGCCAGAGCAAATCTACTTTGCTGGCCATATTTTAATGGAAAAACTTAGTCTCTGCTGGTAATTCCAACCACATTCTCCAAATTTCATTTTTATCATCTGACTTCAAATTCCACAAAGCAGACAGGAGACTACAGTATTGTTAAGAATCTGTTAAGGACCGGTTAACATACTAAAAAGTTAACCAGTTTTTGTGAACCACTTGATTGTTTTTCATTACTCCCAAGAAAAGATACCAAAGCTTTAAAAAGACAGTATAGCTCTCAATTTGAGGACCATGGGACAAGACAGTAGACAAGTACAATTTCTCCTAAACTCAGACAGGTAGGGCAGTTTGTTCAATCAGAAAATTGTCCTCCATTTTTTTTTCCTCACAATTTCTAAGGTTAGAACTGAAGGACAGAGAACTTCAGAGTACTTGCAAAATCTCCTGGTCTCCAAAGCACTGCTGTGAGAAATAATGATCTAGCCATTAACGACAAAGACTTAAGGCAATTTGCTAAGTAATCTTTCAAAAGCTTCCTTCATTCAAACTGGTTTGTCAATGGGAAAGAACATTTAATAAATCTGAAGATTTACAAGTGAACTTTGAAGTTTAACATTATAAGAGTAGAAATTATGTCAGGTTATATAACAGCACAAACGAATTATGGAGAGTTGGGAATAAATTTTAAGAGTCTTAGGGAGGATTAATGCTGGGAAAAAAAACCCTCAAGAAGACTATCTCACTTTTATGTTCCCTTCAAAGAGATTTTTAGGCAAAACAATCATATGTTGGCTTGTTTTGAGCAAGCAATATTAGCAAACAGCTTGCAGTGGTCAGTAAAAAGAAAACAAAATATAATTAAGAGTCTATAAGAGCCCTGACTCATTAGACACGCTTATGATTCTTAGGTGTACACACCCAATACAGCATAAATTATTTTGCCAATAATTTGTCCCTTCAGCAATGAAATACTAGTATAGAATGTGACAATTTCCTTTGATCTAAATCCTAAAATAGGATAATTATTCTGGTGGCAAATTATGCTATCTAGATACTGCCAAGAAAATGAAAATACCAGGACAGACTACAAAAGATTAAACAGTTTGAAAGACCATAAACTCTCTTAAGAGAGTGTACACCAAAGCAAGAGATGAGCGAAAATAAATTTATTTCAAAAGTGAATCTCTACCAGAAAAAGAAAACACACTCTATTTACATTGATAAAACCTGCCAGGGCTTTAACTTTGCTGACAATACCACTGAGAAAAGCTACTACTGAAATGCAGATCACCTCAAAGCATAGTGTTTTGATGCGCCTTGCAGGTTATCATTAAAGTTTGCAGACAAGCTCTTTTAAGATGTTATAGCCACTGTTCCCATTGAAATATAAGCATTGAGCAAAGCACCCAGGAAAAAAGGAAAAACCTGCTGAATTTTGTGAACTGACACTACCACTAAGAAAAGCAGGTGAATTTTAACTTAAACAATTCAAAAGTGATCTTAGAAAAAAGGATGCTTGGAGGAATTGGTCAACCAGCCCATGAAAGTAAAACAACACTTGGATCAGGACTCAGTTCATATGCAATATTACTTGGCAGCCAGATGTTCAAATCTGTGTATATAATTCTATTCATTTACTATTGCTGAGCAACTATTATGTACAAGGTATAGAGAACACTGCAGTGGATACAAAGATAAAGAAAACAAAAGTAATTCCTCTACTCAAGAAGCTTACAATCCAGCAGAAGGGATGAAAGAAACATATTCTGCCTGAAAGTAGAATCGAGGCTTCTAAGGGAGGTTCAAAGTGGTGTGGAGGGTGCAGGCTGAGAAGGTTTCACTTTGCTTCCCTATTTTGATTGGATACATTATTACTCTAAAGCTGGTGATGCTCCTGAAAGGAGCACTAAAATGTCAGTAGACTGGTAACATTTCAAAATGAAGAATGATGCCAAAATCTCAAATGAGGAAAGAAACAAGATATCTTTGGCACAAAATCTGCTCCTCAATGCTCCACTGAACAAAACAAGTCCCTAAAGCTGAACTTAAAGGCATTTGGCAGGGGCTGGTTGGTTATAGGAATTCACAGGGAAAAAAATGCACCCCTTGGGGTGCATGACATGCGTCTTGTCTGTACAACATGGCATTAAGGAAAGAGGTCTCCAAGAGAAGGAAAAAGCAAAGAGAACGCATGTGACAGCATCCTGAAAAGTATGATAGGGAGCTAGACAAGTGCCAAGACTCACTCACTACCTGTTATTAGAGCAGCTTTGGTGCAGCGTCCATCCCTCCCAAATTTAATTGTTCAGGCACTGAACAAGCTATCCATAAACTATCAATACTTTCCTGCCTTAAAGGTATTTCACCATAAAAAGAGGGTATAAATTTATCCATTTCCTAAAAGAAAGGAAACATAACAGGTACCTTTTCGATGACAATAACATTTAAGTAAATGTTAGATGAATAACCCCTATCTTGATCCCCCCTCCACCCAAAAAATCCCCAACCAGTTGAAAGTTATTGTGTAATTTTACACCTTTGTTAGTATGAAAACCCTGGTCTACCCATTACATATAGTTTTTCTTTGCTATTTTAACAAAATAGGAGGGTTTAACTAAACCAATCAGCCTATGATCTTAGCAGGGAAAAAAACCCCACAGGTAAGCACTCAAAAAAAAAAAAAGAAAGAAAGAAAGAAAGAAAGAAAGAAAGAAAGAGAAAAGAAAAAGAAAGAGAGAAAGAGAAGAACTGGACAAATAGGATGGATACTTGATAAAACATCAATGTCCTCCATTCATCTGCAATTCTAGTCATTTTCTAACAGATCTCAGATTTTCAGAACAAGTATGCAGGTTATTTAAAACTGAGTTATATATAGTCATTTAGCAGCAGCAAAACACTCTGGCATTGTCACAGATGCTAGATCTCTGGAGGAGTTTTTTCCCCCCAAACTAGAATTTCTCTTCACTAAGAACCCACCAGCCTTTATTTCTAAAAACAAGAGCCCTTGTCTCCCCCCCCCTCCCCACCACCACCAAAACAAACAAATCGAAGACCACAGTTAAATTCTGCGCTAATGAAACTGTGAGATTACATCCCAGGCGTTGTCAGAACCTATTTTTCATGCACCCCCACCAGACAGTTTGATGCAGTATTCCTGATTGCTTTTTATCGTATTTGTAAATACACTCACTAATCCACTAAATTGGGTAATTTACAAACAGGTCCTCTCAGTTATTAGTGGCTGGCAGTCAAGTCTTATTACATTTGATCCTTATACAGTTGTCTAAACATTTCCATCCAGGTTAAGGGCTCGGATCCGCAAGAGAGAGGGAGGTTGGCGAAATTTGGATGGGGGCAGGGTGGAAGCTAGGAGAAATCTCTGCATCTCAGCCCTCGGCGACAAGATTCAGCCAGTGCCCACAGCAAACTAAATTCGGCACCTCTTCCTCCTGTTACACTGGCAACAAAGAGGGAGTTTCCGTAACGCTCCCGTCACCCACCAGGTGCCCAATCTGCTTCCCAGCCCAGTCCCGGCGCTCCCGCAGGGGCCTCGGTGTGCAAAGAGGCCGCGGGGCCCGGGGTCAAGGCACAAAGGGGGGATGGGGTGGGAGGCAGGCGAGTGGCCTCGGGGAAGCGGGCCGTGGAAGGGCTGCGGGACCCGCGGAGACACCTGAACCCGTTCGGGGGGCGGCGAGTAAGAGAAAAGGGACAGCTAATGGAGCAGAAACTGGACTAAGGTGGAAGAGGGGTGAAGAGCCCCTGCTGGGGGCACTCCTCCTGGGGGCACCGAAAACACTCGGCGGGTGGGGAGCGAGGAGACTCCACCGAGCTGGGAAGAGGCGGGCGAGGCCGGGAAGGCGAGGGACGGGGGTTGCCACCTGGGCCAGAGAGGAGGCGCCCGCGTAGCCTCTACCTGCAGGCGGGCGGGGCGGGCCGCTCAGGTGTGACTGGGAGGTGGAGGCCCAGTGGGGATGGGGAGAAAAGGGGCTCAGGGTGCCCCGGGGGCCGGCAGCCGCGGAGCCGGCGCGGGGGCACCTGCGGGACAGGCGCGCGGCAGAGGCAGGGGCTCCGGAGTGCAGGTGGGCTGGAGGGAGGGACGCGGGCAGCGCGGGGCTGCGGGCGGCGGGCGCCGCGGCGGCGCGGGGGAGGCATCCGGGCGGGCGGCCGGGAGGCGGGAGCCCCTCACCTGCGCGGCGGAGGAGGCGGAGCTGCAGCAGCCCATGGCGGGGCCGGGGGAGCCCGGAGGCGGCGCCGGGCGCGCAGCTACGCCCCGGAGCCCCTCGGCATGCGAGCCGGCGGGCGCCCGGGGAGGGCGCGGCCTGGCCCCGCACGGCTCGGCGGCGGCGGCAGCGGCTCGGACGGCGGCGGGCACTCAGGAGGCGGCGCGGCTCGGGGCGGACGCCGGCCACATCCCACGGCGGCGGCGGTGGCGGCGGCGGCGGCGGCTGCGCGGCTCCGGCTCCGCTCCTGCTGCTGCAGCTGCTCCCCGGCGGAAAGGGGCGGGCGGCGGCGGCGCCTCCCCCTGTCCCCCGCCTCCCGCCTCCCGCGCCCAGTCCCTCTCCCGCTCCCTCTCCCGGGCCGCCGCCTCCTCAGCGCCTCGCGCGTCTCCCATCAGACTCCCCGCCCCCAGTGCAGCGCCGCGCGGGCGGCCGAGCGGCGGCGGCCAAAACGAGGCCGGGCCCTTTGGCGCGCGTCGGAGCCTGCGCGGTGCCGATCCCATTTCGCGGTGGCACCGAGGCGGAGCGCTGCCTCTGGGCGAGTGGGGGGCGGGGGGTCCGAGGCTGAGGCGCCCGAGGGCTGGGCAGGCTCTCCGCGGTAACGGGGCCGGGTCGTTTCCGGACCCGGGAGACGCCGGCGAGGCACGCGGCGGCGCTCGCTGTCCCCGCTAGGAGCGCAGCGCGACCTCCCCAATGGCTTCTTCCTGCTCCGACGGCAGCTTTTTAAATCCAGAGGAAAGCGTACACAATAAACCTTCCCTGAAGAAGGAATACGTGATAGAAGACCGCGGGGAACGAGCATCTGTTGCTAGTGGCCCCATTTTGCTGTTGTGAAAACTGAGCCTTGAAGGGGACCAAGGTCAAAATTGTTGTAAAGACAGAAAGTTCTCGGGGTCTCTCAACTCAGAGCCATATTGGATCTGCACTAAGTTTTCTTATGCAGACAACAATCGAGTATTAATTCATGCATATTTTTGAAATGTACTGAGGACATACTATGTTCCAGTAACTTGTAGGCACTGGGAATAAAGAGGCGAGCAAAAGAGACAAGTCTCTGCTCTCTTACAAGTCCCTGTTGTTCCTGTAGGGTGGCACCAAGTATAGCAGACGTGGTCACCACCTTCAAGAGACTTGCAGCCCCAAAGGAGTCCTTGGGAAATAATGTGAGATGAGAACAGTTACTAGATGGCAGGAATAAACATCGTGGTTAATAATAAGAGAACCATCGGAACCAAGCACTGTTATAAGCCTTTTACGTTTCATCCTGTCAAAGAACTTCTCAAAGACAAAATCAGTTAAAAGAGGAAAAAGTTAATTTGCAAAAATGCAGGAATGAGACTCTGGAAGGCATGACCAAATAACAGGCAGCAAGTTTTAAGGATTAAAACTACAGTCTAAAGGGGGGAAAGTAGCACAGAAGTAAGCTGGCCTAAATGGGCTTTGGAAAGGAAATGTAAGCAAATAAAGATGGAAACAGCCAAAGAAAAAGCCGTAGAAGAATTCCTAATTGGTGCGTCCCAGTATCATTTCCTTGGTCTGTAGCTGGATGAATCACTTAACCTCGTTCTCCTCCTTTGTGAAACACGAATAATACAGATGACCTCAAAAGGTTGTCAAGATTAAATAACATCAGTAAGCACTCAAGAAGTCCCGCTTGAGATCATTAATTTTTCCTCTACATTCTCCCTAAGTTCTCTTTCAGTTTCATCGGAAAGTCCATCATGCTGCTGGGGTGGTGAATCCTAAGTGTGTTACCGGTAACATTAGGTCATTAAAGAGAAGAGAAAAAAAATAAAACCTCAATGGCTTTAGTTCCAATTCTGCACAATTAGATTGCAAACTCCCTGAGAGCAAGGGAAAACATTTTCTCCTTTGTATCTCCCTCAGCAATCTCAAAGGTTTGTTGAATTATTCAATACAGCCAGGAATAAAAAACATTCCCTTGAAATTTTCCCTCAAAGCCTCAAAGTACATCTTGTTTTTAACTGAGGGAGGAGTCTGAAAGTAAAATTATAGTCTTAAACAAGAAGCCATCTGTCTTCCTTCTTTATAATCAAGGAAAGGGGAGTTGTTTCTCTTAGCAGAGTCAATATGGGAGCATTTCTCTCAGATTATAAAAATCTTTTTGGCTGGTGTAGTTATTCCTTGTAATAGCTAGTGCTTATTTTGTAATTAAAACTACAGAAGTAGATAAATATGGAACAGACTGCAGCAGTTCTTCAGAAAAAAATGTACTTAACTTTTTTGAAGGTCTCTTTCCAAACCATGGATGCTGGGTGAATGTAATGGAAAAGGAGCACATTCCATTGTACTTAAATGATCTGAACTCCAGCTTTCCCTTTAAGGGTTAATAGAACTACCAAGTTTGAAGGTTCTGTAACAGTGCTTTGTAAATATACTAATTATGTATGTGTGCACCATATATGCATGTGAATGTGATGTTTTAAAATTACACCTCATCATTAGCATGAGAGAAACTAACACTCCTCAATTTATAGTCTGTGCCTTCTAAGAATGAGTCTCTTTCCCATCCCCCTCACATCCAAAGAAATCTCATAAAAGGAGTGATTTAGAGGGGGCCAAATTACTGTTCCTTTTCATTCGTCCTTGTAAACAAGCACACACAGCATTCAGTGAAATTAAACTACTGCAAATTCGGAAATCTCGAATTTTTTTTTTTCCTAACCAGTGATCAGTGTACTGATCGCACTACCAAGAGGTCTCTGTCATCAAGACAAACCACTTGGGAAGGGCTAAGGTTTGTTTTTCTTTAAGGAAAAAGAGTGTTTTAAAATAAATAAATAAAAATAAAAACTTATGTAAGAACAGCATCTGCACTAACCAGGATAAACTTATAAGGTCTATCTATCTTGGTGCTGCGGGGTAAAAGCGGATCACCAGCTGAGCCAACCAGAAATGCTTCCCAGTGGTCTAGTATTGCATAATTGGCCATGTAGAGTCCAGGGTTTCCAGCTTCTGATGGAGGGCTTGGTGCTGGTCACTCACCGGGGGAAAACATTGCCCTAATGGTCTTTCTGATGATAGTAATAAAGCCTGACTCATTGTTCACATGACTTCAGGTTTTTGTGTAACATAAACATAAGTGCATCTACATATGTGTATGTCTCTAACTGCTCAGAATAGTCCTCCAATTTAAAAAATGGGACAGGGTAGATAGGGAAGGCATTTGGTGCTTTTGCTGTGTTATTTACATTTTAGCACATACTGTGCTCACAGCCACATCCTACAGGAGCACATTTACCTCAGCAGAGCTCCAGCTTCCAGATCGGCCTCACAACTTCCTCCTTCAAGCATTCACATATCACCCCTGGGAAATGCTCCAAAAGTGAAAACTAATTGTAACCAACGGCTGTTACTGTTCATTCATTTCCACAGAGGCAAGAGCAGGTCTCTATTCCAGAAGATGGAAATGTATCTCAGCCACCCAGTAAAGCCCTGCGGTTAGAAACCCTGGAAAAGAGCTTTCCTGAACTGAGGCGTGTAGCAGAACAAGACAATATTGTTCCCAGCAAGACTCTGGTGAGAATCGTAAATCCTTAGCTCTGCAACTTTGTTTCTGCCCACACTTGTAAGCTGATGTTTCTCCAGTGCTAATGAATAACTCTGGCTTTCCTTTATGGTTTCACTTAGATTTTCGTTACAAGATCAGAAGACTTGTAAATTCTCTCAAAATGCTTTCTGCGAATTTGTGTTTAAAGAGATATATATCATTCCCCTATTCTTTTCTGAATGACATTTTTTTATCTGTCGCTATTCAATACTTTTTTTAAAAAAAGTGTGTTTGATCAAGTATCACATACGCAAACATCAGTCTTTGGGGATCTGAGCTGTATTCAGCATAAAACTATTGTTGGTTTTTATTTTGGGGTTGTGGGCTAAGGAAGGAGGGAAAGGGAGGCAGGACTATGAACATTCATTTGTGAAGGGAAGAGGCAATTTATAATGCAGGGATATCTGTTTATTTAACAATATAGTTATTGAGCCATTATAATGAGCCAGATACGTAGTGAGATGCCTGGGATTCAAATATGAATGAGGTACATTCCTTGCCCTCAAGTGGGTTACATTTTACTGCGGTGGAAAGACATTTAAATCAAGAATTAGAGCAAAGGTTAAGTGTAATGTGAGGAATAAGACCACAGACTATGTAAACTCAGAGGTCCACAGAGACTGATTCGTTTTGTTTATAAAATTGCTACATGATGTTTTTTTGGCCTGTTACCCCTTATATTCTTACATCCACTAGACAAGTCCCACTGTGGGCAAAAGCCTAGAAGAGTTTGGTATCCAGGAATGTGTCATAAATATTTCTTCAAGAAATATATGAATTTTATCAATAAGCTCTTAGGAATTTAGATTTGTTAATACCTAAGCATGTCTCAAAAAAAAAAGTTATCTAAAATATTTAACGGTTGCTTTTTTAAATGTTTGGCTTTTCTGTAAAACATCTGGAATAATATATATTTATTTATATAATATTGAAATATTATATTATTATATATTATATTATATATTATATAATTATTATATTATTATTATTGAAATATTATATTATTTATATAATATTGAAATATAGAAGGCTTTTCTTTGGAAAACACTACACCCTAATAGCAAGACAGATAGGATTAACTACACAAAGCTTTTTAAACTCCTAGATGCAAATGGTACCATAAATAAATACAGCCAACAAACAGATAAATATTTGCAAAGCAATATAAAAAAGGTATGCTGCTATGGTCTCAGTGTTTGTGCCCCCCCCCCTTCATATATTGAAATTCTAACCCCTAAAGATAATGGTGTTAGAAGGTGGTTCTTTGGGAGGTACATAGGTAATGAGGGTAGAGACCTCACGAAAGGGAGTAGTGCCTATACAAGCGCTTCCAGAGAGATTCCTAGCCCCTTTCACCATGTGAGGACGCACTGAGAAGTTAGTAGCCTGCAACTGAGGAGAAGGCCTTCACCAGAACTCAAGCATGCTGGCGCCTCCATCTGGGACTTGCCGCCTCCTCAACGGTGAGAAATACGTTGATGTTGTTTATAAGCCACCCAGTCAGGGGCCTTTTGTTATAGCAACCCGAGCACTAAGACATTTATTATCCATAATATTGAAAAAGCTCCTATTTAAAAAACCTAAAACTAAAAATCCTATAGAAAAATGGATAAAGAACATAGCGGACAAAATCCACAGCGGAAGAAACACAAGGACTCATAAAATGTG